CAATTAATATACTATAGACTCTATCATGAACCATTCATTTTTAACATTAAAATACTTAAAATTTAAAATTTATTTTGTCTTAATATAAATTATTATTTTAATAAAAGTACATCAAATAATGTATATTAAGACAAACATTTTTTTAATTTTGTGTATTTTAATGTTAAAAATGATTGGCTCATGATAGAGACTATATTATATGAATTGTATTATTTTAGTTGCTGAAGAGGAGGGCAAAAATTTCCCAAAACGTTCTTAAATAAATAGTGAACAAAGACTAGTTGTCATTACTTATTAAATTGACCTAAAGGCAAATAGGTGTAAGAACAATATATATGTTACAATATTTAGAAAGAATAGGGGATTGAATCTTAAATAATAAATTGTGGCATTGATAAAAAGAGAATCAGATGGTTAGGTCATGTGGAAAGAATTCCAGAACAAAGAATGCCATAGAGGATGTTGCATGAGAAGAAGCCGGATGGCAAAAGAAGTAGATGACGCCCTCGGATAAGATGCCTGGAGGATGTGGAGGACAATTTGAGGCGGCTGGGCGTTCGAAGATGGAGAATAGCACAAGACCGTGGAGATTGGTTGGATGTAGTGGAGGAGGCCCCCGGTACGTAATACCATAGTGCCATTATCATAACAATTATAATAATCTTAAATAATAATTTTAAAAATTATTATTCATTCTATTTTACACTAAATATCCAAAACTATCTTCTCGAATTGCTTGAGGAGTACAAACATTTTAATGTCATATGTTCCAATGAATCAAAAATGGAAAATAGTGTTGGCTGCGCTGTATATATTAATGAAAACCAACACCAACTCCTGTTTAGCTAAATTGGAGAGATCTCCATATTTCCTGCAGAAGTTAATGCAATCCCATGCGTGCAGCAGCTCTATGCAGGCTTATGAAATACTCAGTTAGCGGCATAACTATTGAAGGTCATCCGCATAACCGATCAGTTGTACCGGTCCATTGCATATGGTGCTTTTATTCTAAATACCTGTTTCTCTCACTACTTTTTCAATTAAACAAGAGGCATTCCAAAGCATCTCTTTGCCTTAGTCCTTTGTTTGAGCTAAATTCAGAAGAGTGTCCGGACTGTTAGCGGACCCTGCACCTAACAACTCTCATGGTCATTTTTATAAGGCGTAATAGCTTTGAAGGAAACTTCATGTGTTTTAGTGCATCGTATAACATAGGACGCTTGATACTGTCATACGCGCTCCTGAAATCCACAAAAAAGTGGTGGGTAAAAATCTTATGTTTATGCGCCCTTTCCATGATTAATCTAAGGGTATGAATTTGGTATACTGTAGATTTTCCTCTCCTGAAGTCAGTCTGGCACTGTCCGATTTCTCGTTCTGATGCGGGGTCAACCTTTGGTAGAGGATGTCGGAGAAGACTTTATAAGCTACACATATGCTTGTTGTAAAGGTGATGGATTTGAAATAGAATCTATTTCTATTTCTTAAATAAGTTTTGTTCCGCTGTTTAAAACTTTATTTCCAAAACCATTAGAGAAAGTACATATGTTTTAGCTTTATCACTGATTGACTTGGTAGATGTTCGTTGATATTACATGTCAACAAATTACATCTGTACATCTATATATGTCTATAGTTATTGACGGTATACATATACATGCTTGTCCAATACAGTAGGTACAACGATCCTCCAGTATTGGACACGATCTCCCTCTGTTATATCTAGAAAACATCCGTTGGATTAGCATGTGAAAATGTATTGTCAACTACCTCATCAATATAGATATAATAACATAAATATAATAGGGTTATTAACGACTATTCGTGCTATCTAGCGGGTTTATAAGTGTTATTAACTATAACAAGTTGAAACCAAAACTTCGGTTGTTTCAATTAGGGCTTCATTTGTTGATTTTAATTTTTAAAGATATTGTATAAATAAAATATTGTATTAATGATTATTTGTAGCCCTGATACTTATTGTACTTCAATGATGGAGATTGTATTAATATTAAATAAACCCCTTAATTTTTAAAAACAGAAATTCTGGCAACCTAAAATTTATTTATGAATTTTAATAACAAAGATTATTCACTTCGAATTTCATAAAGGTTTCCGTAACTTTGTTAAATAGATTATTTTCCTATTTTGTACACGTTTGCCTGCATCCTTCCGCATATTTTCTTACATTCCATTCCACTTAAGACAAAATTAGTAAACAGAAAATGAAAGCCTTATAATAACCTACTCCGAATACTTGAAAAATTAATATCAGCTTCGAATAATTAGCGATTATATTTAACACACTAATCTTAAGTAGGTTTCTCGACTATAACACAGTTAAGATATTCACAATACCTATATTTAATACAAAATTACCCGAAATGCTGTAAACTCTAAAACTTTAATTCCGAAAGCCTGGACGCTATTTAGTAATCACTATCATTATTTAATTATTAGTTAATATTTATCAGATTACAAAATATAACTTAATGTATTTAATTTCAATTTGATAGCTTTTAGCCTCATTATCAGAGAAGTATGACACGATTCGAGGGTTAAAATGGAGATTTATTAGAAGCAACGAACATTTAATGGCAAGTAATAAAAATAGTCTAGGAATGGAATAAGGGTAATAAAAAGGATCATAAAAACGTGTCGCTCGACATTTGATTGATTTTTGGATGGAATGTAAACAATTATTGTGTCAACATTATTTATACTAGTTGCCTTAGCTTCCTGCTTTGTTATACTCTGGACGAATCTTGGACGTTCTTACAACAGACTAGAACCTTGGCTAAAAACGAATTCGTCCAGCGAATGGAATCTCTGTAAAGTATAGTTTTTCCACATCTGTATACACAGCTCAGTCAGTTCGGTCGAAAACCGTTCTTTATATTTAAAAATTTAATTTGAACAATTCAAATTTGTGGGTTCGTATTTCAGGAAAAAACTGACAGCTGAAGTTTTGATAGGATATATATTGCATTAGTCTCTGAAAAACAATCCATCTTGACTGACGGCGCATCTGTTGCGTTTTTAAATTGATAAAATTGATCAAAGTCATACAGAAGTTACACGTTGCAAAATTTAAGTAGTTGTTCTTTCTGTAGTGTCATATAGCATTTGTAGATCTGATTTCAAAGATGAAAAATATAGACAAAATTTCTATTTGCGTTGAGAGTTATATTAAAAAAAAACTGTTAATTTTCTCAGTTTATTGGCCCTGATTCAGATACTATGATGTCAATCTTATATCAAATCCAATAATTATTAATCAATAAGATTTAGAGCAAAGTAAATAAGTTCATAATTCGTAAAAAACGGCATTCTTCGTCGATTTTTTTTATAACTCCAATCTACGCCTTTTTATGAAAACAAAATAAATGTTAAAGCCAAAAGTGCACTACATCTCTTAAATTGATCACGTAGATTCGATAAATTGTGAAGAAGAGTAACAGTCGTTGGAGTGGTTGAACTTAAGGGTGTATAATTGGAAATACTGTAATATTTTTTTGTCAGTAACAGCACAGAATATATCTATTTTGTTTCTACCTTATATTGCCGTTTTATTAATTAGCAAATAAGACAAAAGATATGTAATGATTTATAGGATTGCATTTGAGTGTGGCTGCCTGCATATTGAAATTTAAGGACCGAAATATCCGACTCCAAGCGCTTTAATGGTTGCTCATATAGTTTTATATTAGATCTATAGTAAATTTAATGCTATTTAAATTTTTTTTAAATGCTATTTAGGATTTTTTTTTTTTGTTGAAACGTAAAATTTTGGAAATTTAAAATTACATAATATATAATAATAATAATAAGGCTTAGCGAACCCGAAGGTTCGATGCCGACACCACCAATCGCTTGTTACACACCTCCCTCCACCGTTCGCCGTCCAAACCCAGTCCCTTCAGATCGGCTTTAATGCAATCTTCCCATCTTCGCTTCGGTCTACCCCTCGGACGCTTACCATTCGGCACAGCAAATTACATAATATATAAATTTGGAATATAAAATATGACATAATGGCTTCACTTATTTGAACAAATAAACAATAAGGATAATACATAGAAATCTGCAAGATCTCAGTAAAATGTGGCTGACAGTTTTAACATACAAAATAACATAATTTTTACACATATTCGGAAGATTGATTGTTCATGACATTGAATAATAAACGGTATTTAAGGATTGGATACCAGGATTTTCGTATAGAGGTTGGTAGGGAATTCCAAAACAAATTAACATAAAGTAAATATAACTATAAACAATAAATAAACATAAAATAACTTAAAGATAATAGTCCGTGGTACAATGGTGTACAAGATAGTGGTCCGTGGTAATCCCCTTTTGTCAAATCATTAACATCTCCCTGAAACTTTCAAAGTTTCAAAAAAGTTTTATCTCATCGTAACATACAACTATTTTATTTACGAAAACACTTGGCATTGGGACGTTTTCGGTCTGGATGGGGACAAACTTTGTCTATTTAATTAGGTACTAAAAACTCGCAAATGCCCACTTACTTTCTACTTGGATCGTAAGATGATTTAATTACAAAATCGAGAAAAGAGGCGGCCTTAAAAAGTATTGACCCGTTTGGCGTGACCTACACCCCTAAATATTTTTTTATACAGCTTTTTTTTCGATTTTGTGATCAAATAATCTTACGATCCAAGTAGAAAGCAAATGGGCATTTACGAGTTTTTAGTACCTACATCAATAGACAAAGTTTGCACCTCTCCAGATTGAAAACGCCCCAATTCCAAGAGTTTTCGTAAATAAAATAGTTGTAGGTTACGATGAGATGAAACTATTTACGAAGTTTCAGGCTGATGTCAATAATTCGATAAAAAGGGGTCTGTACCCCGGACTATAAACAAATTACAAAAAACAAAGACATATCTATATACACTAAGCAGATTTTAAACATTTACGCTCTAAAATACTTAAGATGTACTTTATTTATTCACCTTTTCTTTTCCTTCAGCATGAAGTTATATCTACGATATCTTGGAGTGATGTATCGTCTCTAGTTATTGTAAATAATTTTTTTTTTTTTTTTCTATCAATGTGAGATGTACTAAATTTTGTCTACATGAATCTTGTTTGTTTACTGATCTGTGGACTGATGAACATTGCCTCATTAGTTCTTAGCCAGTGTTTCAATTATAAACTTTTTGTGAATTTCTATTAATATATATAATTAATTATAATGACTCTTTTAACTTAATTATTAATGTATTTTCAGGTATCTCGATGCACAAAGGATACGCCTTCGTTCAGTTCACAAACCCGTTCGACGCCCGCGGGGCCTGCTTGGGCGAAGATGGTAGGACAGTCCTCGGCCAGACGTTAGGTATGTTTCATATTTTTTTTATCATATTTTTTTTTATATTATGTCAATATTTAAATACCATTAAAGATAATTATTCGGCATATCGACTATGCTTTTGCACGTAATAGCTACAAAAACCGTCATTCACTTTCTATATAATAGAGAATAAATTTATAATGAATCACATAATTTATTTAGCTGTTGAAGGAAAACGTGATGATTTGCGTGATATCGTGTACCCGATGGCTTGCCTACGTGTTTGTAAAATTAGCTATATTGCCTTAATTTAGTAATAACTAGAATTATTTCAGTGTAATGAATAATTCTACAATATTAATATATTTATAGAATAACTACACTTTTGACATGAACTTAATGTAGTAATTATATTTAATATGACAGGGGTCCTATACCGAATTATAAATATTATTTATGTTTGCTTTTATTCTGTCCTCGAGAAATCTAAATTTTTCCAATCTTCCATTTACCCTCTGTCTATCTCTTGAATGTTTACATTATTACAGGGTAACGTATTCAAAGACTTATTTTAATTGCAGAGAAGATAATAATCTAGCCAATCTTCTGAAGTAAAAGGAACGATCACATGAAAAAAGTTTGATGAATTTTTACTTTTATTTATTTTTTTATAAATTTATTCAAGATAATTGAAGTGCGGTTTAAAAAAAAAAACTGGATTCTTCCGGTATTGCAAAAAACTAACTACTTTCACGTTTTCTTTTCTAAGGCGTGAGAATAACTGTCCCGTCCTATGAAAACATGATTCAAAATCTTAAATGTGGGTTAATGGTTGACTGTCATGAATAATAAAGAGAAGGGTGGTTGGGGGTGATCAGTCAAAAATAAAAAGGCAAAAATAAATAATAACATTTTCCGACGTTTCGTCCTGAAGTTTAGACCTTCATTAGGGCTGTTCCAAGAGATTGCTTGAATATACTCTATTCCAGCAATCTCTTGGAATAGCCCTAATGAAGGTCTTAACTGCAGGTCAAAACGTCGGAAAATGTTAAAATAAATACTACTATTTATTTTTGACTGATCACTCAAACCATTGTTCTTTTCATGATTCAGAATCCTTCAGTACTAAACAATCAATCCTAACAATTTAAAATCCTTTGTGAAATCCTCAATGCTCTCTACTAAGTCACTAATAAAATTATCCATAATGGCCCTAATGTTCCATATGTTACTGACTTAGCCCAGTCCTGATATTTATCTTTCCATCATAAGATGGCCCACCCAAATCCATTTGTATCTAACCTTGAATTCCCTCCGCTTTCTGACAATCCTCCGAGGCGTCTGTGAAGAAGATGGTCTCGGGACCTTCTAATATAGAACTATAGTGCTACCATTAGGTAGTTTCTCATTATATTGTACATGCCATATTACCAATGGAAATTTACTAGTATTTTTACCAATATGGTTGTAAATTTAAAAAAAAATAGACAAATGTATTCCTTCCCTAAAATTAAAATTTATAAAACAACTTTTTGTTAATCAGATAAGTCGAATAGTGTGTTAATTGAATAAGAGTGTTTACTTGTATTTCACAACTGAATTCCATCGAAACATGTTTTGTCATTGCCTAGTTATTGTACACGTATTGATTCTTCGATTTTCGTGAGCTAAAATAGTCTCGAAAATTAGCTATTGACATAGAGATGGAATTTTAAAATTATACTTTTGCACCTTGAACGGCTTCCAAGGTAGAAGCTGCCTGCTGATTCAGATGGCCACTGATACTCTTTCACCTGTCCTCCTGTCAATCATCGAAGTCTGCTATTGTTCCTCTTCTGAGCTCATGGCAGTTCCTCCGCGATAAACGGACTCTGGTTGCGTAGGCTTTTCGGCACTTATATTATATAAAAATATTATGATACTATATAGCATTTCTTTCTGAAAATATATCATTCATATATATCGTGTAAAAGTTCTTTTAGCTAGAAGAAAATCTTTTGTTCAGTCTCATGATACCCCAAAAAAGTTATTTTTTAGATGAAAACTTCCTTAGGCACCTTATTTACATTTGGTTTAAAATATCCCAAAACCTAAAAATCGGACCTGCATATTGTTAGCAAGGGAATCGTTCAGCATTTAATGCTCTTTGTAATGAGCTATAATTCAAAATTCTATCTTTCCGCGACGCCGTGAGAGAGAGATGAAAAGTAAAATTGTGTCGAAAACCAAACTATAACGTTTGGAGTTTTATTGGAGATATGGATCAAAATATCGCAGAAATTAAAAATCGGACCTGCATACAGTAAGGAAAGAAATTGTTCAGCATTTCATCCTTTCTGCAATTGGATATTATTCAAAATTGTATCTTACCGCGACGCCGGGATACAGAGACGAATAGGAAAAATAGTGTTGAAAACCAAACGATAACGAGTTTTATTGAAGATATGGATTAAAATACCGCAGAAACTAAAAATCTGATCTGCATACTGTGAGTGAAGACACTTTTCAGCATTCCCTACTCTTTATAATGAGCTATTATTTATATTTCGTTTATTAGTCTCAATAGTTGAGGTTTTCTCTTCTATTTCGTAGTCTAAAGCACACTCTTAGTTTTTATTCTATTCTATAATATCTAAATTATGGTCTTATACATTATGACCATCTCCATTTCTGCTTTCTCACGGGCTATTTCTTTCCAGTTATCTGCATAAAACTCTACTCCATAATTGTTGTTTCGATCTATCAACCTGGTTTTAACCTTCAACATGGTTGCTCATAAACAATTTATCTACTTTTTTTCTCATTATTTATCTTTACTTGACTTTTAGGCTATATGGGTTCTTCCTGGGCCAGGAAAATGGGGGAGGATTAATGTCAGAATTAAAAGCGTTAGCTCGATCATTAGGATTTTTGTTTTAAGATAAATAGGACAATACACATCCATATAGATTGATAACCTCATGAACGTCATGAGTATTATAATATTTCCTCAATTTGATGACTCAAAGAATTGATCTCCAGTGTTGGTGATGGACTTTATTTCTCATGAGTGTCACAGTATTTTTTTTTTTCAATCAAATATTATTCTCTGTGATTCCTTGTTTATTTTTTAAATTAAGGTTTAGGTACTATATTCGTTCCGTCAATGCATAAATATTTAACTCTGAAATAATATGAATGACTTCATAACCTTTCCAGCTGAAGAACGCGTTCAGTTAAAGTATGTGGATATTTATGTGTTAGTTATTAAAAAAAAGAAAAAAATTATGAATATTTCTTAAATCGATAATTACTGATCACCAGTTTACCATTATTATTTTTACCTCATATTTTGATGATGTTTGATATTTCTTAGTTCTTTGAAATTCTTGGCAAGAGGTACTTCTAAGTCGAAAATGTGATCTGAGATATTTAACGAGCCATCTCGTAAAGACTGCCCCTGACGCTAGGAACCTGGCATTGCGCAGTGAAGAGCTAATGTATACAACTTGTTAAATCAGGCCCGAGCAGCGAAACTGACAAACCTGATGGCTATTGTTTTGAGCCAAACGGCCTGTCCAAGTCCGGAAGCGATGGAACCTTGCCAGTCCCTTCTATCGCTACTGCAACCTATTCCATTTTTTTCTTATTTCGACAAAAAAAGGTTTTATGGTTTTGGTTCAAGTTAGATTTCTTTTAATATGTTTTTCTTATTACAAAATTTTTTTTAGATTACTTGTTTATTGATAAATATTACAATATGTCTCAATAGAGGACACTTTTTATAAGAGTTCAGAGAGCGCATTCACACCATAATTACAAAATCAAGAAATAAATAAGGTATTTTCAAAATAATATACAGCGAAGTAAGAAGAAAATAAAATATCATAATGAAGAAAGAAAATATAAATAATAGTAATAATAAAATAAAAATAAAATAGAATTAAAATGTTCTTAAAAGATAAAATAAACATCTTAGACGCAGGCATACCAGTAACAAAAATTAAAGATGTAGTTGTTTCAGTAACTTACTTAGTTTAATTTATTCAACCAATACTAATTATACTTTTAGTACACTTACTAATACTAAAAAGTTACATTTTTTTTATCGATTTCAAATATAATATTATTTGGTATAATATAATATTATAGGAACAATAGTTTGAGATCAAGCTATAATTAAGATTATATATGCATATGAATACATAGAGGTAATAATTAATAACATTATAAATAGAATAAATAAAATATAAATAGTAGTGGATGACGAACTATGCAATAGGATAAAAGTGACTAGAAATAATAGGAGTATATGACAAACACAGTGTATGTAATAGCATAAGATGACATACAACTATAACTGGAGTGACTAGCAAAGCTTTAGTATAAGATAGACACAAAGTCTAGAATTATAATTTAATATTATTAAAGTATAATAATAAAATGATGCAGGAATAAAATCAACTAATTAATGATTAATGAGGTCTAATACAACACACTTAAATACACTGTTAAAATAATATAAAAAACGTATTAATATTGAAGAGATGCAACTAAAATACTAAAACTGAAAATAACTGTTAAACAGCTCTTTAATAAATGACGAGTTTTCGCACCAGGTTTTCTCATGTGCAGTGAAATGAAGTTGAGAATAACAAGCAGATACATAGAATGAAAAATTATATAGGATACAACAAAACTAAAATCATGGCTCCATAAATAAAGAAATTGTTATTGAAATATAACAAGAAATATAGGACATATATAAAACTAAATTAAATTGTGTATAAAATACTAAGAAAATAAAACATGTAAAGATAAGTGATTCGTACTTCCTAATTTAGTTTTATAAAATGATATCAAACGACTTTTTTTAATTATTCAGGAATTAATCTTTCATATATATATATATATATATATATATATATATATATATATATATATATATACATGTGTAATATATGTGTACACTGACAGGCAAAAAATTCCACCCACTTGATTTTTTCATGTTTTCATCTAAAAATATTTCTGCTTTGGATTGGTCTATTGTTTTAATGAATAAATAGGTAATCTTTTTGTTTGTTTTCAATTAGGAATGTTAATATATAGGACAATAACCCTTAATTCTTAATTCAATGAAATGATTCTAGATTCCAATGTTTACTTTCTATGGAATCAAAATGTTTATTCAGCATCATTAGTTCTGTGCCGTTTCTTGCAGCACATTTCTTTGTCTCTGGCTTTTAATTTTTTCAATATTAAGTTTAAAAATGCCTCTTAGTGCTGAGGATGTTGCACGTGGTGTGGCACTTATTGATGATGGACGTTCCATTAGATATGCAGCTAATCCCATCGGAGTTCCACATGAAACTTTACGAGACGCCGTCAGCCGTTGTCGGGAAAGTGGTTCTTACAATAGAATATTATAAGAAGCCCGGTTCTGGACAGCCTGGGGTAACAGAACCGCGAGATGACCGGTTTTTGACTTTGAGAATTTCACGAAACCGGCACCTTACTGTTGTTCAAGCAATTCATCAGCTCGATGAAGTTCGAGGTGTACAAATTTCTGAACGTATCGCTTGGGGAAGATTAAATGACAATGGATTCATGGTTTTTCGTCCTGTAAAAGGACCAGAGTTGACCAGAACTCACAGAGTAACACGGCTGGCTTTTACTCGAGAACACAGCCATTGGACTATGGACAACTGGATGGACAACTGGACTATGGAGTGCTGTACTTTTTACAGATTAGTCAAGATTCGCTCTTCGATCTCCAGACGGGCGTGAAAGGGTGTGGAGAAGAAGAAATAAAAGATATGCAGCCTGTAATTTTTCTCAGAGCCAACCTTTCCAACGTGGTTCCTTAATGGGTAACACGTGGGTGGAATTTTTTGCCTGTCAGTGTATATTAAATAGAATCTATACATTTTATTTTTAAAAAAAATAATTTTGATTGAAAAAAAAATGAACTCATGAAATAGTTTATTTTCTAAAGGTGACTATATTAATATTTACATTCTTGAGATACGGCCTTTCTAAGTCCAAAAGAAGCTGAATGAGAAATATGCAGGGTGAACCACATCAATTTGAAATGTTCCACTAGGTCTGTCTTTATCACGCCTGGTTCTGTCTTCTTATTTCTTATTCAGATCGCTCACCGATGAAAACTACTTTCAATCATAGATATGACAAAAATAAATCATTGAAATATATTATTAGGGGGTAGATATCTTTTAGTTATTGATTACATTTAAATTTACGACAGAAAAGAGAAACATCTGCAAATACTTTTATATTTTAAAAATCGTCATTTAAAAAAAAAAACGTTGAGAAGGAATGTTGAGAATATGGAATTGACAATAATAGAATTTTCGATAAACTCCAAACTTTATTATTTTGCAAAACAAATATAAAAAAAAAAAAAATGTGAAAAAGAAGTTGATAGAATTCATTTCTGGTATATTGGCTTACTTAACTGTTTTGTAGCTTCGTGTTTCTCATTGCAAAAAGACTTTATAGTAGATTTTTTTTTAGCAAAGTAATAATTTTTACAAAATAGAAGTAAAATACAGAACAAAAATACCTCAGTTCTTCGATAACACTTAATTTAAACTAGTTGTACAAGTATAAAATGATTTAAGGTTAATTTTTATCTTGATACCATGATTTTTATCAACGCGTTCCCTGCATACTTCCTCGTGGCATTGGCAAAACCAAAATTTAAAATGTCAAGTTGTAATCATATAATTGGATATATAAAAAAAAAAATACCGTTTAATCAAACTTAATAATTTTTAGAGCACTCTCTAAACTTGTTTAATCCCATTCGACTTCTTCAAAAAGCCTCAATTTAGTTATTTGATTAAAATAAGAAAACATGACAGT